CCCCTCAGAAGCATCGGGAAAGCAAGGCGCATCAAGAGCAGGTCTTGGCACTCACGAAGGCTCATCTGAACTACTATCAGCTGTTCTGTGATCCGTCCGGTTACAGGAGGCTCTATGCGTAATTACTTGAGTCGAATGGGAACAGGAGTGAGTAACTTTAGGATGAATCATAGGACTGGTGAGCTCGTATTTGATCAGTACTTTTTGAGAGAACCCCAGAGGTTGACAGAGGTAGGTGAGCTACGGACTCCAATCGGTAGTCTCAAGCTGTTCAGATGGCCAAGGCGCTCAGTCTGATCCATGGCGAAGCGAAGCTCCCTCAGGGAATGATTATTTGTAAAGCTGTTCCGAACTGGTAGGACTGGCTGTAGGGAGTAGTATTATTCGCAAAAAGTTGAGGTCATTTGGTTTACAATTTAGTCTCATGATTATACGTAACTAAGTAACTATACTGAGTACAGTAATTTAGGCATCGGGTGGCTGTCAAAGCTGTTGTGGTGAAGAGGACATCTCCCTACTATTTCAGGTTTAGTCATTTCGAGTATTATGTTAAGAACGCTACTGGCAGAGACAAGTTCGAGGAGTGGAGGGTAGTGGTGGAAAGTATGCTGGGACGACGATTTATTGTGCGTCAGACAAACAAGGACAAGCGGCTTTCTTCCCTGCAGAAAATTGCCCTCAGAAGTCAGAATGGCGAAATGGTTTAGGTTAGCACATTCATCAATTTATAGTTCCAACACGTGTATGTCATCTCTTTTGCTGATTCTGTTGTTGAGTTGTCAATTCAAGGAATGTGGAGGTAGATTGTCGATTTTGGTCATGTCCAAGATGGACTGTGCCGAAGCACGGAAGCCTAAGTTCTCCCTAGCCGAGCCGCCACCGCTACGCCGACCAGCCCTACCACAGAAGAGTGTTGCACTGGTCAGCGCGTTATATATGCTAACCTACATTATTCCCGGACTACAGGCATTTTTCCTCTTCATCATTGGAGTTATTTTCCTGCTCATTAGCCTCAAGGTGTTCTGGCAGATCAGCACTTGGGAGGCCATACCTTTTTCTACTCTGGGTATGTGGCATTGTGATTTATTGGTTTTGTTCTGCTCCCAGGTGCCATCTGTTTCATTCCGGGAGCCTATCATGTCTATTTGATATACCACGCGTAAGTACTACGTTATATTCGCCGGTGGTAGTATTATTCTGTCGTATTAGATTTATATATTGGAGTTTCACCCTAGTGATATGAAAAACACCAGTGAAAAATATATTTCACGACTGCTGCATATCGCGAATATCGGGTTTTTCACAGAGTATTATACCGCTTCTCGTAAAACGGGTGAAACTCCATTTTTTGTGCTCAGTGGCCGTTTATGTGGTAGAACGCTTTCTGCTTGGTAATCATGACTAGTCATAGGAGGAAGGGGACGAACTGACCCGTCCGAAATACAATAATAAACCCTATGTTTATCCTAGGGAGTATAAGTGTGCAATGACTGTAATATGAGTGTATATGTAGGTACATGGAAACGCCCGGGTTCGACTATACACTTCTTGATCATCTCAAGTCTAATTGATACTATTGTGTGAGTGTCTCTGTGCTTCCTTGTCGAGCTCGAGTCGTTAAAAGGGTGGACCCCTCCTCTGCTGGCATCCTTGATCTCGCTATGGTATCACCATTTACCCTACAGGAAAGCTCCGAAGGGCGGATGTATCCCCTTGCCATAATATCCCTCAGTTCGGATGGTGGGTAAATTAGATGACCCTGGACTGTCCAGAGGCAGTCGGTCCTTCTCATCGGTGGTCACTAGCCCGGCACTGGCCGTCTTGTTACTACACTATGTAGTGGGTAAACCGTTTCCATGATGGTGACGTCAGTGAGGCCTATTTATCATCAACAGGAGTCTACAGTAGGAAGACCCGTGCGGCTCTGGTAGGGACGTGCTTGCCTGTACTCGACCCAATTCTTTCCTTAGTGGATCAATATGCAAGTATACTCCAGAATTTCACCGGGAATGCTGGTAAGCTTATCAGGCAAGTCCAGACCCATTCCAGAGGCTTATCAATAAGCTCTATCTCCTCTGGGCTGTCACTGCGGAGGTGGCAGCCAGATGTAGTAGCCGTAGGCTCCTCCTCACCCATGCCGATTGATGTATTACCATTACTCTTCTCATTAGAGGAAGAGATGAAGGAGCTGCACCGAGGAAGCTTGTATCGTGATAGAGAACTTCATGCTACCCTCCAAGGCATGTATCGGGACCTCTAGCTGAACTCTATGCGAGTGTTGTGTTGCTGAGCCGATTAATGTTGATTCGGCTCCGACTCTGGGCGTACGCGATACTCACGTGAGTAGCGCTCGCCTTGAACTTGTCCCATTTTGTATTTGCAGCTGCCCTGCTCCGACTGGTATTCATGTCAACACTCCCCGACATTGGCTGTGGGGAATTTACACTGGAGGTTTGAGCCAAAATGTCTATTGATCATGAAATCGCGTCACGCTGTTCGCATGGTAATCAAATAGACTCAAGTGTCAACTGCAGGTTGCGTATCCTCTTGGGGGAACTGTCGCTGATTCGGGAATTTGTTGTTCTCGTATGCGGTGATTATGAACGACATGATGATGATACGGATAATGCAAATATTGGGTAATACCGGGAATGGGAAGGATGAGCTCTTGTCCTACAACAGCTGAGCAGTAATGGTGTCGTCAATTTGTATGGTGGAGAGGAAGTGGGGTGAGAGGGTATCGTGGGCTAGAAGAGGGGGGACACCTAAAGCGGGCTCGGATGAGGTTAATAAGTTGCTCAGTGGTGTGAAGTTACTGAGAGCGGACTTGCACTTTTTAAAGGAAAAGGCGCCGGTCTAGACCGAGCAGGACTAGGGTCGGTCTCGCCGTTGGTGATGGGCAAGCCTTGGGGTATAGGGCACTCCTCAGGAGAACGCTATGATGGGAACTCGGCCGACCCCAGCATGGCCACTGGGATGATGTAAAACCAGTCTATTTTTGGGGTAGAGTGGTATAAACTGTCATCTGTCGCCTATGGTCGCTGGAGCGGTATTCATGGTGCACTGAGTTATTGGGTGCCACCTATGCAGCGGATTATTGGTGGTCAATAAGGCATCCTTCCCTTATGCGTAATGATTAGGGTATTGCATAACTCCTGCGACTAGGTGAGAGCGAGGCGTAGATGTCCCTGCATTGGACACATCTAATGTTTCTCCTCTTTCTCTCAACCTGTTCGATGATTTCTCAGGGGTAAGCTGAGGTGGTATCAGTACTGTATAGATTATTGATGGGTGCAGCGGGGGTCAGCTCTGGGGAGGATGTGATTCTGATGGGAGGTGGTGGAGACGCTTTGAAGCGTGAGAGTTTGAATATTTTGAAGGGAACGAGTTGGAGGCGAAATGTTAGGGACTTTGTGTGGATTATCATTCATTTTCAACTGTCACGTTCACTCAACTATCACGATTGTTCATGTCATTCGTCACTTTTCCCACTGATGGTGGTTGTTGTTGAGACGTACTAGGCAAGAGTTCATGGTATCTAGTGGCAGTAGTATAAGGTCATTAATGAGCAACTACCCGGGGTCCTCGTCTTGGGATAATGCGCCACCTCCTCCTCCCTCATCATCATCATCATCCGAAGCCCAAGCTCTCGGTGGGTCGACGGCAGGGCCGCCAGCAGGGTATAGCAATGGAGGGGCAGCAATGGGCGGCTTCGATGCGGCTCATGATGGTGGGCTAGGATGGGGCTCTGGCGATCGGAGTGCTATGTACAACATGAATGCTGGATGGGGTAGGGGGGAGGCTTTTACTCTCAACTTGGTATTATCCTCAATAGGTCGACCTAAGCACAAGCAGGAGGTTCGCGAAGGAGATTGGTAGTGGAAGAGATGGTATGGTTTCTTACTTAGTGTTCAGGTTCTGCAATACTTGTGGTGACCATCAGTTTGCTCGTAATGAGTATTGCCGTAGCTGTGGAGCCCCTAAGGGGGCACCACCACCCGATCCAGCAACATTAGAGGCGGAGTATATGGCAGCAGCTGCGGCCTATCAGCTGATGAGCGCCTATGGCATGCCAGGTAAAGTACTGGGCAATAATTATTATTTATTCGTCAATTGTTTCTCAGCATACGATCCTTATAGTACTAGTGATACTGCGGGAGGGATGCCGATGTAATGAGGCCGGTTTGTTAGTGTCTATTGGTTATTGTATGTGTTTTAGGTGGCCAGCTTGGGGAGGGTAATATCGGGAATAAGTTTCCAGCGCGAGATTAATAGGAAAATGGCTTTCCGAATTGAGGAATAGTAATGATAGAGGATGAAATTGATCGGTATGTAGATGGGGAGGTTGGCCTGGGTATTACGGCAAGGGGGAAGGTGGTAGTATTAGTGGTGGTGGACAAACTAGGAGGCCGGGTAAGGTGTGGGAATAATGATGATAATTACGGTCCTTGTCATCATCTCAGGTGACTGGGATTGCCCTCAATGTGGCGATATGAACTTTGCCTCAAGGCAAGTTTGTCGGAAGTGTGGTACTCCCCACAGCTTTGTTGCCTCGGCCCGTCCGGATAGTGCTGCTGCTGGTGGTCCGCATAGTGGTGCTTCCTCGCTGGAACCACCGGCTTTCCCTGACTATTCTAGAGCACAGGAATCTCGCCCTAGATCTCGTAGTCGAAGTCGCGACCGGCGCTTCTGAGGCGTCTATGTATTGCGGCTGTTCGCGGTTTGGCTAGCTCCGAGGCACGGTTTTCGGATATGTTCAGAATATATAATGATAATACGGGATTGCTTATAAGGCTGTATGTATTCATAGTAAATGATGCTAATACTTATATGATTGTTGCTCGTTGCTGCGGCTGTTGACCTCATCCTCCCGAGAAATCTGTCAAGTTCGCAACTGTTAATTTATACACTGGTTGGTCTACTGTATGTAAACGGGGAGTTTATTCGGGCACATCTCAAGATCATGTTGAGTTACTTGAGTGGCTAGTTACGAACCTCAATATTTTGTACTCAAATGACTCCAAAAACTAGCCTTCAATTTTCCTCGCTTATCACTACAGTCCTTGCTCCAACAACAGTTGAGCCACCGCATCCTATTTACGAGAGTATGAGCAACCTCAGCTGGACACCGCGATCACACGGGTTAAGAACCCTTGCGAAGTAACTGAGGTGGTGGAGAAACTTGCAATATTTACTGTATACACGAAGAGGTGCTCTTTCACATTAGCGATCACGCTACACGTAAAAACATGAATGACTTAGTATACACTGGTGTATACTGTATGTACACGCGGCATGAGCCACCTGACCTTCGAGTAACCTATAGGAAAGTTACGATCCACAATATTTTGTACTCGAAGCAGCAGGAACTAGCCGTCAAGTGTGGGCATTCCACTAGACCGTGATAGAGATTACAGACCTTGGGGAAGGTACAAAAAACGAGAGCTATCGCCATAACGTAACCGCAACGACCTCGAGCTTTTTCCTTCTCATACTGACCCACCTGTGTAGGACCATGAATCATTTACAGATTAAGCCGGCACTGGGATTGATGACCCGAGACCAGACACGGATGTCTCTTCGAATGTAGAGGCCAGAACGGAGGAACAACGAGGAAATTTAGTCGATTCGTCAAACTCTGACGGTCAGAGACAAACGTAACGGCTCACAATACAGGAGGGAACCTATCGTAGGTCAGATAGCGACATGTCGTCAGCCGGCCAGATCTCTCGAGAAGCCCCCATTTCAATGCCTTATGTAGCTGAAGTTACTCGCAAACACAAAGTGTTGATTATAGAAAATATACAAATATTGTGAATCACAGTGAGATAATAGTTGAGTTTAGTTGCCTGGCAAAACCTTCGTGTAGAAGATGAAGGGGACCATGAAGCAATACATAATGATGCTAATCAGCACTAAGATGATCGTTGTGAAGAAGCCGAGTCTTCGAGCTCTGACAAAACAGCGGACAAATGACCTCGAGTACTCTCAGCGATCCTACTTTAACAACTGAGTTGCCCGCTGATTTTCTTTGGTCATACTATCAAGATGCTGGCCTTGTAACTTCTTGGTCAATTCTAAGTTGGCATTGTCCTTCGCCAAAGTCTCTCGTTGTCTGAATTCATACACACACTGGAGAAGCTCGAAGGGGTCATCATCGTTGCAGAAACAAGGATAAGCGCAATAGTTTTTCACTAAGGCGACTGATCCACAGGAGAATAGTTCACAAGGCGTAGATCTGGAAATGCATAATGACTTCGGGAGTACCCCACTACCTATTAGCACTATCCCTCACATGACCAGTGAGCTCAAGCATCTCGTCAAGCAATCCAGATCGACCTCGATCGCCGCCTTCATCACTCGTTGGTCGCTTTCTATCCCTTAACCCTTCGAAGAGCCGCTCTCTATCATTGAGCTCTGGCTTCGTCAATTCCTCCGCAACAATGCCGTCAGTCGGTGCCGCTTCCACTAAGTCGTCTGCCTCGAGGTTATCTCCTCCCCTAGTGTTACCATCACTATATGACTCGATATCATCATCGACCTCAAAATCAGTACAGTAAGCGTCCCTTAGTAGAGGAGAAAGATCCTCATCTGTGTCGGCCGCGAGCCGTTTACATGCCAGGAGTCGAATAGCTCTACATGCCGCCGTGTCCACTGTGAGGCCTTTGGTATAGCTCAGCAAGGCCTCGGCTTCCTGTGTGGCATTGGTAGACCGTATCACCGCTGGTGTCACCAAGTGAGGGTGGCTCGGCACCACGGTCGCTCTGGAGGAAGCCGCACTGAAAGCCGACACACTAGAGGGTCGGTGACCAGAGGGTAAGGCCTGACTGGGACCGTCACTAGACATTCCAATGAAAACTATCAGCCGACGGGATATGCACGATTCGTTACGTACCCAGATGGGCACAGAAATGGACGAGTGCTCCACTCGCAATGAGAGCTCGACGAGAGTTCATGAGGATATGCGTTATATAGGAGCATGCCGCCAGGCTGGTAGCGCCAGCGACACAGCACAGGATTGTTCTTACCATTTCCGTATGACGAATTCGGGACTTCATTACAAGATCTGCTCCAAGGTCCCGGGTTCGATCCCTGCGTCATGCAAAATGACTTGTGCTCAAACTCGCGCGTCTTGCATATCTTAGCGTTTCCTAACAGGACGGAGCTGTTGCTGGCCACAAACGTGATGTACAAGCTACGATGTCACAACAACGTATCACTGCAGGCAGAGTGGTCCTTGACGTTGATTGAGGCCTGATCCCTCTGGGCTGTTCAGTTCATTGGCGTTCAGTTCAAGGGAGTTGGTGCATACAGGCTAACTATTATTCGCTGCTTGCCGCTATCAGCTCTTCAATTCTCAATTATGACCCTCCGAGAATCCTATGGCCCTACTACGGCGGTGAGGGAGAGTCGAGCGTTGGATAAGACACCTATAGTGAGTCTGAGCAGGTGCTCTCGGAGTTGACGTTCTTTATTGCAGGCTTACAGCTCGGGAGGCGAGTCGTCGAGAGATAGCACGATTATCCAGAGTTCGGATAGCAAGCAGGTATGGACAGGTTCCCTCTGCTACTGCCGTTCTGAGTGTTGTCATTCAGATGAGCAGAGTTCGCACCATAAAGGAGGTGGTTACTGGCATTTATCGCGAGGCTGATGGCACTGTCATTACACTGAAGAAAATTCAACGGCTTGGGTTCGATTCCGAGCATATCATCACTCAGCATTTTGAGGAAGCGTAAGGCGACAACTATGTCGCTACTGATTCATCGTGTGTATGTAGGTACGGGATTCTTCCCAGCCGAGTTGAGGTAGTTCATTCACGTCGCCACTCGAAGTCTCATCATACTGTTGGAGCTCTTCGTTCGCCCAACATCGCTTATGCGGTATTCACTGATAAGGCTGCGGTGGATGCCATCATGGGTTATGCCGCGGCTAGGACTGAGAATATTGGAGGTAGACTGTCAAGGCGCCTAGTCTAGTTGTTTCAATGCCTGCTTCCTTAGGCCTGGAGGTGTCACTTCAACGCTTCTTCAAGCGTGATAAACGTGAAGGGTCCCCGATGAAATCGGCGTCCCATGATACTGCTGTTTCAGCGGACCGTGTCCCGTATTCGTACACCGGTAGCACCAGAGTCTCATTCGAGACTATGCCTGCGACTTTTAGTGAGTTGATGGAGGACTCAATGCTGAAGGAAGCTGCCCAGCAGTGCCCTATGGTTCAAGCCGCTGCTGTCGATCCTACTTTGGCTATGGCTGTGATGGACTGGCTTCAACTACACCCAGATACCCTCTCTGAGATTCATCCACCGGTTGATGGCTTCAACTTCTGAATTATTATCAATATCTAGCATATGTCTTCCCCTATGCGTGTCTGGCTGCTGTGACTGATGGTAAAGTGTTGTTCTGCGAGTACCTGCATGTGATTTGAGCAGTCTCGCTACTGCTCTGATGGTACGGCGTTTAAGAGGCCGTTTAGACCATATAGTTGTATAATTGAAACGACCATGGAACTTGCAGAATCTGCCCATGTGCGTCCTTATTAAGCAGTGGGCTGGTGAAGACATCACCTGTCGGCACCATCACTGCATTAGGGTTTTCACTACTAGGCGGTTTATGATTAGGTTATTCGCCGTCACCCCGGTCAACGCCGTTTTCTGATTGTTGTTGCATCGGCACTAAAAGTAGCCAAATCAGACAGTGTTGTGCTATATTGAGTCGTTGATTCTATCTGTGCTCACACTATGGTATGTATGTGTTGCTCTCTCCTCGGAAGGAGTTCTCCATAGTTGTTGGCTCGGTTATCGGAGGTTAGCTTTTTTTGTAGAATTTGCCTCCGTCATCGATATTCCTATTCTTAAACTATCGCTTCTAAAAGGCCGTTTGGGTCCCGGCGTTAGATTTCGAATCAAATATTATCTCTGATGAACGGGGTTTGGTATGCTGCTCACGGCCTCTCCGCCCTGTCTGTTGGTGCTTGGCAAGACCCTTTGACCCAAAACAAATACTCTGCGAGGCCCAACAACTAAATGTTGTTGTCAATGTTGTATTGGTCACGTATAACTCCTTGTAGTCTTGTTCTGTGTGTTGCCTCTACATGGGGTTAGCTTATACAGTTAGGGAGGTCTGCCCATTTATTTTCTAGCCTATTTGCTGGTAGTCAACGCGTTGACAACAGCGGTTAGCGTGTTGGTTACCAATTGCAGGTTGAAGGTCATCACTATGTGTAGTGTGATGAGTGACTGCATATCACTAGATCTATGCTATGCATTACTGTGATATTGGTAGACAGTCATTGCCTCCGCTGTGTCTGCTAGGAACTACTCAGAGTTCTCCTCTTTGTGTATGTTGGCAATACACAGTTAGATTTTGAGGGAACCCAGTACAATCAGCGTCGTGTTAAGGGTGTTTTATGTATTCTTACTGCCTTAAAGCTCTTTTACCAACAGTCTCGTCTATGTCATCCACCTTGGACTATTCGGCTGGCGTCAACCCTCTCGCGTGCGACTACGACTGGCTAGCAGATCTTACCCTCCCTGGTGGGCTCGCTGTCTGCTATTGCTCATCACTTATGTTGTTGATTTTTCAGAGTTCCAGTGTGGGTTTCCAGAGGGCAGTGACGACTCAAGCTGGATGGATACCCATCCGTGTGACTCGCCTCTCAGTCCCTCCACCACTGCTAGCGAAGTCAGCTCTTTGGACACCGCCTTATTGATTCAGCAGCTTCTGGCTGCTAGCTCCTCGGCTGATATAGCGGCTGCTCAAATGAGCCAGTGTGAGGACGTTGAAACTGGCGCTACAGACGGCATTTCCGTAAGAAAGGTTTTAGATGTGTTGATCGCTCGCAAGGGTTTGTGTGATAGTGCATATTTTTCAGGATGACCTGGCATACTCCCTGCCAGCATTACTGGAGCTCATAAAGACCCAGTCGCCGTCTGAACTCGGTTTCGATGTTTCCCCTCTCTCCGGTAAGTTCGCCTTTTTTACGTCTATGAAGATTCTTTCGAACTCTCAGGTACCCATCTGGAAGACAAAGCTTCTCTGTGCTACACTGAGCAGTCATCTCTTCCTATTCACACTTTGGCTGATGGAGGCAAAGTTGCCTACGTACCCGTGTACATTCCCCCATCCCCGTCGTCTACTTCTGGTGACAGCCAACTCAGCTCTTCTGTGTTGACTCCCACCGTGGCTCGCCGTGAACAGAAGCAGCAGCAGCCTCGCAAGGCTAGAAAGCAGTCTTATGGGAGCTCTACGGTGAGTCTTGTAGCCTTCCTTAGTAATGAATCAAACGCTCCGTTTTAGGGGTCTGAAGGAGAGTTGAAGAGCCGTGGCAAACAACAGAACAAAGCCACTACCGGTGGTAACAAGGTACCGTCCTTGAAGGATGTCGTTGCAGAGGTCTACAACGAGCAGCCTGGATGTGTGATCACCCTTCGTAAAATACAAAAGCTTGGCTATAAGGCATCTCACATTATCAAACAACACTTCGCAACTAAGTAGGTTTCTCTACCTGGTTATTGAGCGAACCTGTTCACTTCAGATACGGTGTGAGAGTCATCCGTCTGCGTCTTGTCCATTCCCGTTCTAAGGGCTGTGTCGAGCGTCCTGGCCAATCTGGTCCCCTCCGTCCTGCTAATATGGGCTTCCTTGTTCTCGACAAACCAGCGTCTGTTGAGAAGGTGCTGGCTGGTGTCTCTAAGGATGGCATTGAAGTCATCAATGGTGTGGCTATCAATGTTCTGAAGTTCATACGCAACCCCTCCCATAGGGATGCCTCTGAGGTCGCTGCTCCTCGTCCCTCTATGGGGTTCAACGAGCCGACCAACTACACTGTGCAACCCTCTATGATGGATCAGTACAGCAACAGTGATTCGCTGTACTATCCTTCTGTTCATATGGACACCTGGGTTGCTCAGCAGGGTCTCGTTATGTAACTTTGACGACAGCAACTAGCGCTCTACTATGGTATATAAGACTACCTCTATAAGTATAGTGCGCCAAGGGTTTCATCGTTATACTGTCTCCTACGATGGGCCCGATTAAAACTACATAAAGGTGAATGTTCGGCAGAGATCCGTCGAGACTACCTATAAGCTATGGGTTGAGATTCTATTTCGATTGATTTTCCATTACAGTATCCACTCGACTAGAGTGACGGCATATTATGCTCAGCCGAAATCCACATAAATCGTTTCTTTCTCGAATACAGTTTTACGCCCTCTACGTCCATGTATCCCTAAATGGTGTAGTGCGAAGGCTCTCTGTCCTCTCCGGTCGTCGGTATAATATTCCAGTGATGTGTATTGAGAAGCGGTTAGCCCCATTCGTTTACTCAATTCACACGACGGCAATGGTAGGTAAGAGTTAGCATTGGCTTCGCATTGTTATTACCGCGGGTGACTATTAGGGCAGTCTACTGTATTTATAAATACTTAGTCATTTCTTAGTGTGCTCGTCTGCAGCATGTGTCCTATCTTATCTGTCGGTCTGGTTTACCTAAGTCTGTTCCTACTACTGTGTTTAAACTGGTACCATTCGGTTGTTATGAGCCTCCCTGTTGAATCCAATCGGCTGCGCGGTTGAGACGCCGAGTCTATGGTTATTACTCCAGTGTGTGCCATACACTGTATGTGTGTACTGGTGCTTATGTTGATACCCCGGACGGGCTGTAGCTGATGCTTTTCAGATAGTGTAGGCATAGGAGGCATGATGAGATGCGTGAAGAGAGCTCAGTCTGTACTTAAAAAGACGACTTGGTCTACTGAGTGCTGAGCCACCAATGAAGGCGGCATTCAAATCAGCTAATCTTATCAAGGCATCTTTGCCTTTAGCAGCAGTCTCGTTGAAAGTCGCTGCATCGCTTCGCTTTTCAGAGTGAGCTGCACACAATATGGACTTGTGTTGGTAAACATAATGTAGATGGTACGTAGACCAGCTCGGGGGGCTGCTGAGGGGAGTAGCTGTAAGCAATGTGATGTGGTCGCCGTGCTGCTGTTGATGCTGAACTTTCCTTTTGAGTAAATACTTATCGTCAGTATTCGCTAAAACTGGTCAGTTCACATCCTATAATGTTCACGTCGAGTCCATGGGCATATAATCCAACTCCTACAATATCCCAGTTCAACAGCTCAGGGCCCCGAGTGACGATGGGAACCATAGTTGCACCACAAGCACCAGTAATGGGTACGGGTAGTGTTGTCGTTCAACAGGGACCACTTGCGGGATATCCAGGTAGTCTCTGAGAAGCTCTCGCTGTACTCGTTTTAAGATGTCCAAGGCTGCGGTATGGACAGGTGTCCATCTCAGGCATAGTGCCAGCTACAGCTCCATTGACGACCTTGGCACCCGTGTACCCTACTCCTGTGGGGAGGTCGCCTTTACCTGTACCCTTGTCGCAGCAGCGAGTGGAAGCCCCTACGAACAGCGTAATGATACTGCCTGCCAGGCAGTGCCTGGCGACTGAGATTTCCCAATCCTTATCCCATGGGTTGCGGTTTTGGCCACCTTAGGTACACAGGACTAATGTTGCGGAAGCGCATGGAGTTTTTAGTGCCACTCCAGCTGCGAGAGTAGCGGAGGCTAACTTCATGCGGAAGATGGAAGAATCCATGCCGAATCTAATAAGTGATAGCAAAAAGGCTCAAGAGCCCCCGGTAGTGGTAGTAGACAGCGGCTTCTGGAGATTAGACTTCGTCTAGAAACGGATGCCTCGACCGAAGTCCCGCGCTGTCACACCCAAGTCCCGAGCGACGCTTCGTGGAAACGCGTGGCGGGGGAAAGGAAGCAGCAAGAGGCTGGGAAAGTAGGCCGTTGACTTGCGAAGTTCCCACCGCGAATGGTATAGAAGGATTGCTGGATTTCATACATTTGGTCAGATCTGTACCAAAGGGGGAGAACCAAGAGCTGACAGGACGCGTGGAGGATTGGAAGAAAACGAAAGCCGAAATTGAAGGTTCGTTGAAACGCTATTGTGGCCAGTTTTCGCTCCAGTGGGTGTTCATCTCAGCTTTGCAAACTCGATTCATAGACGAGGTGGAAGCACGGGAAGCTGGCCATCACACTTGCCAGGAGCTGAAGAGGCTCATAGAGAGCCAACATACTGCAGTAATCCTGAGCATGGGCGTTCGGGCGTACGTAGTAATCCTTAGATTGGTCATCTGCAAGATCGAATCCTCTCCACCCAACACCGCACATCCAAGCTGCAGGAGACTTCCGCTGTGATAGCTGACGCCATTATAGCTCTCCAGGGCAGGTTGCCGACAGTCTCTTTGGTAGAGCCTGGCTGTTATCATGTACGTATTTCATGGGTCTGCTCAGAAATCAGTGGAGGAGACCACATCCCCTGCGGACCAGATCGACAGGGCTATACTGGAGTACATCGACACACACCCGGAATTCACAGTAAGTATTTCTAGTAGTCTTCGAGTATCATTTCGAACTGCAGATAAGTGTTAAAAAGGCTGGTCCGGGGGTTTATATTATCGGCAATAGACGAATGCGCTTGACCACTCGGGGGGATATGACTGTTGTTCGAATTGGCGGCGGTGAGATGCAAGAATAAGTCCACGGATGCTTCTGCTCTCCAAACCAGGTTACTATACTCTAGAAGAGTACTTCGACGGCTACTGGAAATCCGACTGTCAAGCTCATCAGACCATCAGCGGCTCTTTAGCTGGTAGATGAACATTCTCTATCGTATTGTCCTACTGTGAGCAAATACTCTTCTGTTGTAGCGATGTCTACCAGCACGTGGATGGCACCGAGCGGATCTCTTAGTGCTAGGATCAGCGGCAATACACCGAGATGAACCGCTGAAATCCTGTCCACTTGCCACAGAATGCTTTTACATGACCTATGGGTCCATGCTTGAACCGTTCCGATGTTGCATGGAGAGGCTTGCGTGATCTAATCTGCCCGTGTGGGAGGTCGTTAGGCCGCAGCACATCAGTTCAACTGAAATCTCCATCGAATGTCTCTATCGGGATGAGCGCCCTTTTCCATCGATATTTTCTCCTGAGCTCACTGTAAGAAGCGCAAAGTTGTGATACAGTAGCCGGGCTACTGTATTTACTAGCAGTGATGAGAACTGGGGATATATGCGTTTGTGCGAGCTTCTCCAGTTGATCTCGTTGTTGCCCATCTGATTCTCAGTTCTTCACCTCGCGTACACTTGTCTATCGTTGTGAATTTTAGCACAGTTTTTATGCGTGTTGTGGTGCACTGGAGTACATGCTTGGAAGTTTCGATGAACTATAGAGGTAGAGGCGGCGATAGCGAATCTTTGTAGACCTATGGAAATCGTGTGGCGAACATCGCAATTCGACATAGCAACATGTATCTATTCAGTATCTTAGGCGTTTTAAGGTGGCAAGGTATCCCCTGTTATTGCAGCATCATGATTAACGCTTACCCCATGTCGTCGGTCTTATTACATCTCTTCACGTTGGTGGCCGCTGTTGTTGGAGGTGAATTTCCAGATGGAATGTACCGCAGTCATCCCGGTGGTCATAACTGGATCGATATGATCGCCAACTTTTCGGCCACGAGCAAGTCGGTATCGATGAAGATCAGATGCAGTCCGTCCGGAGAGTACTTTGGCAACGCCTTCAGTCTTAGGGAGACTCCTGAGGGTAGTCCAGCTGTTGAGTTTGACTCCTTCACCAGCAGTAAATACATAAACTTGCTGAAGACGTATAACAGCCATTGTGGGCCGTTGAAAGCTGATCCACGCAAAGATGACTTTGCTGTTTATACTATTTGTCGTGACTGCATATATACTACTCTGGATAATTTGGCGATCCTGCTGTATCAAGAATAGGTTTAGTCTTATACTCCCTGAAAATGTCAAGGTCTTCGATGCTATATAATTTCAATGTCTTGAACTGTTGAGGCAGTCATCGGAGTGACTTGAAGTATTACTAAGCTGAGAACTAGGAGTACATCTGAACCAGTATTTTTTTGCTGATTCGAACAGCCTGGACGTTAAGTCGCCGAGACCATCCAGTGGGTAGTGCGACCTTTTTCGCGCCTTTTTACGACGTTATCATGGGATAGTACATTGTGACCTTCTCGCCCGTTCGATCCTATATTCTTTTTAATCTTCAACTAGCGTTGAGTTTCGACAGTACGGTGTGCCACTTTCATAATGATGATACCACGATCCTCTTGGATCGAGTGAACTTGAAAACCAACGGTATCGGCGATACCCCTGCATCTGTACGAGGCCGCATTTCCCAGGGTTGGGTACATCTCGGGCTCATTGCGCATTGGTTCTGTTGCTATTTTCAGGGCGTCTCGGGCTGTCCATGTGTCACTAGAAAATAATGGGGTAAGTGAGGTTGTTCACTGCAGGAGTGAATGCATTGCAAGTAGCATGTTGTATGAGGTTGAGAGGCATCAGCGCTATATGTATGCATGGACGGTCATTCTTCCACTGTAACGGCTGGGGTCGCGAGAATCATATGGATCTCGCCTGGCCTTCCTATGGAATGCCTGCTGGATCTGCCAGAGTTTCGGAGGCCCGGTCGTACTGTCCTCAATCGGTCGTCGACAAGTCAGAATTTCTTTCGCCCTAAGTCGTGGGGAAGACTGTGTCGGAGGGCAGCGGTGCCTCCTGGTTGTGGCGTTGCACCATTGAGTATCCAGTGGACTCGGAGGACGGAACCGCCGGTCAATATCAGCTGTAGTAGGAGGAGCAGCCTGTGTCTGTTAGCAGGTGGAAATCACTCCGGACTTGGAAATCAATCGGCTAGTCGTACACGCTCCGATGCTCGTGTTGCGGCAGGTGACCAGAAACAGTTCTTAGGTGGCTCATACGAAAGTTGAATAGGACTTAGTCTCGGTCTGAATGTTTAACAAGTTCCTGATAGTTACCATTCGTCCCAACTCTGGAGGTTTCGATATGACTGATATTTCAAAGTGGAGTATCGGAAGGGCATACATGGTATTTTTTGTCCTTCCTCTTCGTGCATCGGGGCATCAACACTAGCTTTCTGTTGTGTTAAGTTGTCATTTTGATGTGGTGTATATCGTTGTTGAGGTTGTCCCATGAGTCTCCATTTAGCCAGCCTCATACCGGAGGAGATCAGCACGATTGGAGGCGAATCGGAGTCTCCGGTGGATGAGAATGACACGCGATTCAACACGGACAACGTCGATTCCGTGCCGGGAGCACGATTGGTCATAGAGGGAGGGCCCTTGGGTTCGCTGGAATATGGATGCTCTCAGTCGGCCACGACCCCTGGTCTTCGGCTCGGTATCCACTCGGCCCCTCCTAAGCTGTTACAGGAGGCGGGGAAGCTGCATCATCATCAACAACAGTCGAGTGAACCTTCGCCTTCAAGTCATCGTGGCTACAACATTCAATTCGACACGAGTGTGTCTGAGTATCCCTCCCCTCCGCCGGCTAGTTGTAGCCCTCCATTGAGACGCGAGGATGGTCAGTGGGCTAGGATGCTGCAGAGGAGTGTTGCTGCTCAGCTCCCCGAATTGCGGGCGCTTTGCCCGAGCGCCAGGCTACATGCATTGCCGAGGTCATTCCCACTCCGGCTCCTGTGCCAAGTAGCACCATCATTATGTGCTGCTGGTTGTCGCTGAGGTTATCCTATCAGAGGCTAGAGGTGTGCTGAGCGGGGGCGCCACGTTTAACGGCAGCCGGATAGAAACTCCGCCGGGAACTGAGGAACCTAGCATCCGAGGTAATCTGGGCGACCCGGCTCTGGTTCGGATTTTTGATGCGATACGCTTCCAGCGTCCGTGTTCGCCACTCTCGGCCGGATGCTCGACGAGGAAAAGCTGAGCAAGAAAGAGGTCCAGCTCGCTATCAAGCTCATTGCTGGTCCGAGAGGATATTCTGCGCGTGCCTCGGCCCAGTCGTGCGTGATCAGGCTCATTAGATTGCGCTGAAGTAATGTACCAGCTGATTCGAGCACGACCAACGATTGAAGGCCAGGCAGAGTTTGTGGGGATGTACTTATTAGGGCAAAGAGAACAGTAACGATTATCCCATTTGTGATACTGCGACACTTTTGACAATCTCAGAACCTCGCCAGAGCCCCATGTCAATAGGGCAACATCCCAACCACCGTTTGGTAGGAACTGGTTAAGTCACGCCTGGCGAACCGCACGCTGGAATTTTTCATTCAACCGTCATTTAGTAGTACAGGTCCAAGCCCGCATCCACACTGGATGCCGATGGGAACGCCAAACCAACAGATGTATTACTCCGGCTACGGAGGCTACCCAAATTTCCCTTCTGGGGACGCTATGTAGAGAGGACTATTGGGGAGAAACGAAGCAACCATTAGGAACGCATGATGCACTCTTACTCTTCTGGGACATGGGTTGTGTTATGATGACGGAAAAATAGCAGCTCCTTGTTTCGATCAAGGGACCTTTGGGTTATGAGCCCAACACGCTATCCACTGCGCCAAGCTGCTTGATGTTCGTATGCTCTCGCTCTCCAGCTGTACCGTACATTATCCTATTGTTATATGTTATCCACCAGTTTCACATTTCTCTATGTATGTGCCGAGACACATAGGCCACGATAATCACATTCCCCATCGCTGTTCACACCGCTGTCTCTCTTCGGCAATCTCGCTCGCCCAAAAATTATTCACGTCTATCCCACACGACTATATCGGGAGCCAAGGAGTCGCCCATTCTATGTCATGACTCTGCCGATTTCCAATGATGCTGTTGTGATAAGTGTACTAGCCAAGATTACCTCATTCGTATTCGGCAGGGACAGTTGGTTCCAAAGTTTTGGGAAAGATAGCGACGCTGTCCCTCAAAATGATGATCACCTCTCTTGTTCATTCCTGTTCATAGGCCGATCACAAGTGATGAACATTGACCATTTCAGCTAGTCTGTTTGTCATGCCGAATGTCACGGGCGTTATCTTACCTGGAAGCCTTTCGAGAAGAAGGTCGTCTTCCAGGGGGACGAGGTAGTGGATTCTAATGACTTTGTTTGGTACTCGGGATTACGAATCTTGCGCTTGTGGATGCTGTCAATGCGTATTTCTTCCAATGCCTCCTCTGTTGCAGTGACACCCGTTCTCGATCCTGTACGGTGTCTCACACCGTGCCGGGGTCTCACACGCGCGCCAGGAGCACAGGAAGGACGACAGCTCGGGATAGCCTCGTACACAGCTTGCTGGCTAGGGAACTTCCTAAGCCGAAGCGGAAAGTTTGGCGTCCTCGTCCGAGTGTGGTAATCCAATTTTGGGCGCTTGAGGGATATAACGCCATAGGTTACTCTCCTAGATACTACGAATGAAGCCGCTGAATCTGAGCGAGTGTATGGATGAGTTTTTCGAATCAGACTGCAGCAGGAATCCCATCTTCGAATATGATGGGGACCCTGATGACGTCTTCAAGCGGCATAGCACTGTGGATTGCTCTCTACTCGAGGAGGCCCAACGTGGGGTTATTGATTATCATTGACCGTTTCTCACGTCTATCAGGTATCTTGGATCGAGTACTAGAACAGTTCGGCTCGAGTGAATCGTACATGGAAGCTGCATTCGGATCTGAGACGGTCAGTGGCACGGAGCTACGGCATCGTATGGAAGAGTAAGGGAAGTGATCAGGCGACGACAGAGAGCTTACTGTGCGCAGATATCTGGCAGGATTAGGCTTACTAGGAGTGGTCGAGATTAAGGCATCCAATAAGCTCCTCAGCATCGCCAATGTCGTGAAGACTCCTCCGGATAGACACGTGTTGCATCTCACAGGTTAGTAGTGGCCTGTGTTTCCCCTAAGCATTGTCTCATCCATGCTAGATACACCGGTGCCAACAGGGATGATACCGGGACTGTGCGCTCATGAGATAGGGACCCACCTATTGAGGATGCTCAATAACGATCTTCAAGTAGCGATGGTCACCCTCTGTGTGGATCGCCGCCATCACATGTCCTCAGCCTTGGAGAGCCGACCGGCGTCTGTCTGGTCCTAAAGACAATCGTCCAAAGCTGGAGAATCATTTTGCTACCGAGGAAGGATTAGCTACACTAAACGCTCTGGTGCAGTCGGACAAGAGACCCAAGAATGCAGAGTGTATGTACCTGCCTACTGCCCCTTTGGAATGTATTCCTTGCCCTAGTATACCTGTGGTCCCCCGCGTTGCGATATTGGGCAACAGTGCAAGGTCAGAATCGTAGCTTCGTTCAGCTCTTCCACTTGTTACAACGCTACGTCCAGGATCCTGTGAGGCGCTTTAAGCTGTGCAGTAAGCTACGGTCTCGTCGTCGATGGTCCCGCGAATGATATTGGTCAGGTCGTGTGAAAAGGGGCATCCGGGACACTGGTATCCCTAGAGGGGCGTGTACGTTGGACCAAGCGTGAGTTGGGAATCGCTTGCGGTTCTTCGATCATACCACTCCTTGCGCACATCGTAGGGCTTTCGGCAGGTATTTCCTCGGCGCAGTGGATATCTTGCGGAACTTGGACTCCATTGACTTCGTGCTTCTGCATTGTGGGCTGCTGTCTCGGAAGGATCTCCATAGGGTTCGTTTCTGTGCTCGGAGACATGCGATTAGGTTGCCTCATTTTCTGGGGACTACAGAGAAAATTGCCAAGTGAGTTACATTAAAACTCCCAGATGTTCTGTGTTTCGATGCAGCTACTGATGTTTTGGAAGGTACATTGGAGCCTTGCGTAAAGTTGCTCGCGTAAACCAGATATCTATAGGTCAGGAGTCTTCCTCACTGAGTAAGTTCATCGCTGGTTTATTTCTCTTCTTGAGACAGTTGCTTAGGTGAATGCGATGCTCTGATAAGGTCTTACACTCTGAGCCAGACTAGGTCATATTTCCGTCGTAGACTCCTAAGGGACCTGTCGATGAGGGTGAGCTTGCTATGCGTCTCTCGAACTCCATTCGAGAAGTGGTGTGATGATGATAGATTCATTATGACCGATCGCGGCACTGGAGGAAGCCACCAAAGCCACAGCGTATTCGTCGAAAAGCGGGCTCCCCTGTGTTGATTGTGGAAGCCTCCGACAAGACAACTAGCGCAAGCAGCAGCAGTGACGAGGTATTTGAAGTCGTCTCTGATGAAACAGAGGACGACTGAAGACTCTCCCGTTGCCGTTCGTAGACCTTCGCTACTGTCTTGGTAGAATGCGCTGAACTATCTCTAATTCATATGTGTTCTCCGTGTTATTTTCTTATGTCTGTCAAACTCGTCTTACTATCAAGTCACACTGTGTCACTCGCATGCCATGCTTCTGCATGAAACTCTTGTTGTACTCTTGTTGAAGTGTTTTTTGTTTCGTTCGAGAGCGCAGTCTGTCAGCGGCCTCTTTCTTTAGCAAGGTTCACACTTCCATGGGGGAGTTTCGAGGACCATGTGTAGAATATCTGGTGCCAACTGCCCCCACACGGATTGGAGACATCTGTTGCTACTCCTTATTGTCACCGTTGGATTGGAAACCTCTCAGTCTAGTCTCGCAAATGGCCTGCATAACGAGATAATGCGCTTGCATTTGCATTTCTCGCAGCATCAAGATAGTCATGACACTCCGTAGGTGTCTGCCGAGTCGACTTACTCGCTATTCTGATAATGCTTTCGTCGAGCGCTTTGGCCTGCTGCAGTGAGCTTCCTCTCGGCAACGGTAGCCGCACATTGTATTGAATCAATAGCACGGGGATTCGAAATGCACGCGTAGCGAAATCAGCAGCGTATTTTGGTGAGAACTTGGCCTGGTTCACGAGTATGAGTGAGACTCTGCATCTGCATCGGCATACGATGAATGAGGAAAGTCACTCAACAATCAGGGTAAATTCTCTCAACGCCAAATGATCTCTCGAGCATTCAAGTTGAGACTCAGAATCGGTGGTTGATTCATGAATCATGGATCGGCATCAATAATCAGAATCAAGGGAAGGTCGATTACTGCAAGTAATCAGTACTCAAACTCAATCGTGCATTTACTTCCTTTACTCGACTTGAGTTATATTTCTCATTAATCCGAATCGGAGGGTGATTTCACTCGAAGATGCATACATAAACCACATATGATACCGCATCGTCACCAGCAGCACAGGCTATCCAGTCCCTCGCCACCGACATAACTAGACAGTCCGCTTCGACTCAACAAATCCCCGATTGTTGAGAAACTTGTCTTTGAGTTATAAAGAGTTCTATACAACAGCAACAGCACAATCATTATTTTATGGACAACAGGACAGTAGCCTCTACTCCAGAGGCTTCGGCCCTTCCTCCAGAGGCTCAGGAGCTTCCCCAGTCGGCGCTTCGATGAGGTTCTCATCCAGAAGGTACTTCCGAACCAGCAGCGCGGAGTTCCTAGCTCCAATGCAAGCCATCTCGAGGTCATCAGCTGTCCTGGTCATAGCAGCCGTACTGAACACACCTTCAGAGAGCTTGAACGGAGGCAGTTTATCGTTAACAGGGAAAGTGGGACAGTTAGTCTCAACCACGACAGGTTCTGGAGCTCCAGGGAGGCTGACAAAAAGACACGAAATATGCCCGCTACGAGACAACAGCTCGATGTTCCCCGAATATCGCGAGTTCTCTCTATCCATGATGAGGATCTTGACGTTGATTTTGTATGATGCCAAGCAACGGCGTACCTCATCACCAACTTTTGTAATTCCTCCTTCCCCAACTTCTCCTGAGCAGTGACCTTCCAGTTAGACACATGACCAGAAGCAGCTCTCGTCAGCGCAGTCTCTGCTTCCTCTGTAGTAGCCCCAACGGGTACCTAGTCCGCAGCTCACAGACATACAGCGCAAGACCCGACAACACTCACGACGGCTTCTATAGACGTCCACGGCAGATTGTTATCTGCAGCCATCTGCGTCGTACTCACGATGACTGGAACACGGCCGGCCCTATGGAACGACAATACACATCCTCTCACTGCGCTTGGATCAACCTACACCTTCGTGATGGAAGGACTCACAGTACCCTGCACGAAGTGATGGTAAAGTTTCTTAACCTCACAGTTGCAGTCATTGAATAGGCCGATGGCCTTGCCATCAGGACCTACCAACAGTATGGCCTCAAGGGCAGGACACAGCCGGTATTCAGTACCCTTCAGCGAGAGCTTTTCCGCTTCCTCTACCGGCATCGCGAGGACGACAGCATCGAACTCATTGGCTTCATCATCACCATCCAACACGAAGGCGCCGCTCTCCGTTCGTGATGCGGCAGTAACAGTCCGACCAGCAACAACCCTAGCTTTGCTGTCTTCCAATAAGGCGCTGGACACCTGACCACAACAGTTGTGAGGAGGACTCAAGGAACAAGATCGACTACCGCATCGGCACCACCGACAGGAGTGTACAGGTTCTCGTACTCAATATCGGCCATTGCTATATTGGCACAGAGGCCATTCACTGACTTACAGTCGAGACCATAAAGATAGCGGAGACCTGACATCAGCAGCACTACTACCACGAAACCATGAACCCAGGCAATAGAGTACTGGCAGTGCAAAGATCGTCTACCAAGGGGGCCTTGATGCAACGATCCGTTATGAAATAATCTCTGGCCTGGCACAGAAAACCCCATGACAATGCAGCACAGACGGTTACCGGCCTACGTCTTTGTCGATGATACTGGTAAAGTCATCGCCATCAGCGCCCATGCCCTTGAGCAGCTCCAGGGGCTCGTCGTAGACGTAGCCGTGTTGCTGCAAAAGGTAAATGTTAGAGAAAGACAGGACACCTGACACTGGAGTTTTACACAACCAATGCGAGGCGACGCGATTACATCCACTTGTAGTTTGCCTCATCTCAATAGGGCTCTGAATGCCGTAACGCCACACTGTCGAGAGCATGTCCATAAGGGTCCGACCCATGGACTGGAAGGAAGGATAAGAGCCAGTGTGGAGCATTATGCCTGATCAAAAATACTCTCAGTAGACCTAGGCAAAGAAGGGGAGGCACTTACTTTGATTGCCGGGTACCACCGGACGCAACGGAACCTCCATTTTGAGACATAGCCTCTTTATAGTTTGGTTGTAGTCCGCTACAATGGAGTGGCCGGCTTCATATCTGTGGTGAAGAGATGAGACCCCAGGTTCGATCCCGGCACCCTACTTTTCTCCGTCGAAATCCACAATAGGACCAGCACTTCCGTTGCCCATCTCGAAGACCGTCAGAGACACGTCACTCCCTTTGGCGAAAAGGGAACGAATATTATAACTGCCAAAATGATACGATACAATACATAAATTTCGAGCGGAGCGAAGCAGCCCTTACCATGTAGCAGCAGCGCCAACGCCAGAGCCAACAACCGCCACTCGGACCGGCTCGCTCTTTGCCTCAGCCATCGGCACTGTTACCCAATGATCCGTATCTAATTCCCATACCGTAAATTGGCCAAATCGTAGACAGGCCTTGAAGGTGTACTCACTGACTCGAATCTCCTTGCGTTTCAATATTTGCTTGATGAACATAAGAGCCAATACTATCGTTCCAAAGATGCATAGGGAGATCTTAGTCGAGACGCTGATGCTGGCCACAAAAGGTAGAAATGGAACCGGCATGGTTGGAGTTAAATACAAAGCTGAGGCGGTGACAGTGATCATGGTGTCACCAACGCAAGACAGGAGCAAACCTGCAGCAGCCCATATATTGCTGCTACTATGCAACATGCTTTTGATATTTAATTCACAAATGCACCGATTAAAAGTCGCCACTGGCGTAGCTACGAACGAGTCAACTCGAAATGCGAACCGTAACTTCAACAAATCGTCTCAAAGATTCCACCGCCCATAACTGGTGACAGGGTCGTAACTGTGCTGACCCTCCGATACTTGTCGATCTCCTTAAAACCATAAGGGCTGCTCTCTCCCATTGCACTCAGCGACGACAACCTAGTAAGACTACTTGGCCTTGCTGTCGCTGGTGATGCTGATGATGACCAGTAGTTCCACACCGTCGAGCTGAGTGTGCTTGTAGTAGCATAACCCTTAAGCCACCGTACTGCTCCGTTAGCTCGTATTCGGTGGGCGGCCACGTCATCGCCTGTGACCTGGGAGTTCTCCTTGTGGTCCAGCCAGAGTTGCCGCAAACGTTGGCCAATCTCCTCGGGGTCAGTTCGGTTTAACGACCGACATGACGGCTGGAAGGACCCAGGACGTTCCATCAGAACGAGTCCCAAACTTGGACGGAATTTATTAGCAGTAAATTCGGTGACGATGAACTCGAGATCGATAGGAGATAGTTCGCACGGCTCCAACCGAGGACCCAAAGACGCCCGCAGCTTCACAAAGTCGACAGGCACGCCAGACTCGAGTAGCTTCTCATATTCAATGAACAGCTTCCGGAGAGTCTCCAAAGTAAGTCTGATCTCATGAACTGAAGTATCAACGGCCCGAGCTTTCTGTCGCTTCACTGGAGGCTGGGCGGCGGTTCCCTCCACTACTCCGTTTTTCCTAGGCCGACCTCGCTTTCTCTTCGGCTCTGGAGCAACTGTTTTGGGAGGATCCTCAACACGCCGAGTCAAGGCCTCATCAGGGGAGGCCGTAGAGACATCAGCTCGATCGGGGACAGTACCATAGAGCACAGCATCTGTTCGGTTGGGATTACTGCTAGCAACCATTTGGAAGAGATCGTTGGTTCGGAAGGCTCCTCTCTGAAAACCCAGTCAATAGATGCAAAAACAAAACCGTGGAATTTCGATAAATTCGCTGACGAAAATGACCTTTCTATTCCCCTTACATTATCAACTCTCGACGAAGGACTGTTGATGGGCTCTACTGTGTGGTGTCTGCTATTAGTCGCTCCATCCCGTCGCCGCCGCCGCCGCAAGGACGCCAGGCCGATGGTCATTCTAGTTAAGAACCCTGATTATGTCTTCATCTCTCTCTCTCTCTCTCTCGCTCGAAGCCGATTTCGGCTAGGCGGCCAGCCAATGCTTAGCACACATCAGCGGCTTTTGAGGTCTTCGATAGTCGGCGAGGGTGACCAGTCCATCTCCGCAGTTTTTTTTTGTTTTTTTTTCTAGCATAATGTTATCAACGACGTAAGTATTCCACCCAGCTGAAATTGATGAAGATAGCTTTGAGGAAGAAAAGCTGAAAACGCACAACATGAATCGCTCCGCTCCGCCCGCCCACGGAATGAAGGTCAATTTATTGGGCTAGATCAACCAACGAGCGAATGGTTTGTGATGTGGTTGGGGGGTGTTGGATCGATTAATATCCAGTTACCATTTAGTTAATGGGGACTTTCCTGAACCCACCCGCCCACATCCGGTTTAAGTTGGTTTGGGAGGCATGAGCAGGGTTGTTCGGGCTCGAAAGAAAAAATTCTTTCAAGCGGAAATTTCCGGAAATTTCAGGAAAAATAGAAGTGGTCGAAATTTCCGGAATTTTCGGGCGAGGTCGTGGGTTCGATCCGCGGCTCCGCCAGTTTTCCATTCTTCGCCAATCCACGCGCGAGTCCGGAGAGGGAACGTACGGAAGCCACAAACGACCCACTCCTCGAATGTTTATGCGCATTGCAAAGAACGACGCAACACAACTCGTGAGGTATCGATGAATATTGCTACAGGAAGAAGTGACACTAGGGAGCCACTGCTAGTGGCCCACTAGTATTGAAAAAGGGCGTTTCACGCAAGTGTGGGTGATTTCGAGACGTCCTTCCCACCTTTATCCTGAAAGTTGCTGATTAACGTGTGATGGTGTGGCAGACTGCCACCGGCAGTCGACTCGCTCTGGGAGTGTCGGAAAGTTGTTGATTTGCTCTTTTTTGCCAGAATATCACATTGTCGCGGTGCAAACTGCGGCAGTTTGAAACTGCCTACGGAACGTGTTTCCGTCTGAAATTTTCCGAGCTTCCCAGTTCTATGGTTCTCTAAGTTTTTCGAATTCTATGGTTTCTCCTCATTTCTCTGTTCCACCAATGTGGTGGCACGCACGAATGCACGCATACCCAGAGCCTATGGGTATGCGTGCATTGACCGGTATGGGCGCGTGACCTGTGGTGCATAGGTCTTGAGCTCTGAATGACGTATCCGCATACATCTCTACTAGGCCATCTTGGACGATCCCTGGTTATGGTATCACCGTTTTGTACGAGAGTCAGTACTGGGTGATGACTCACTAAGTGACTATCGCAGGAAAAAATCAAGAGTTACACCCACTCTATCTAGACGCTGGACACGCTCTCATTGCTCATATATAGACATAACGAAGCCACTGCCAGCCGATTGTGGAGGATTTCGATGCAGCGGGCGTCGGTTCTTAGTGCAGTGGTTAATAGAACCATGCTCAACCTACGGTAGGTCACCTACCCAGGGGCGCCACTATCGCGCTGCTCAGCAGCGGCTGCTGACGCGCCTATGGAATACCGCGCGCAGCGCGGAGCGAAACGATTCATATTGTGTAGGGATCGCGCCCTACGCGCTCGCCCTTGTAATCGTTATCGTCTGATCACTTATATTCGCTCGCCATCGATCGCGCTATGCACGTATGCGCACTGTGTGATCATGAACTTAGGATAAGTAGAGTTACAACCCCTTTTTGATCCTTCTCACTCGGCTGCCCTTCCACGAAGGTCTGCCCTTGTTGTGAAGTTCGACTACGCTATCCACTGAAGTCTGGCTACTAGTTGTGTTGCCCAGTAACAGGCACAACATTCTGGTAGCAGCTCCTTGTTGATCGACGACGAGCCCAATGACGAATAACACTGGTGATAATCGCCCCCAGGCTGATGAAGCCGCCCCCTTGAGGATTAGTCTCTCGATGCCCCCTGCTTTCGACGGTATCTCCGGTAGCTTTAAGGATTGGCTAAGACGTTATGAGCAATGTGCCCTTGCAGCCGGATGGTCCACTCAACAGCAGGCAGAACGCCTTGGTCTGTACTTGAAGGAACCCTTTCTCTCTGGTTGGGATGCTTATGCTAAGAAGGTGAACTTCGAGGAAGACAAGAAGTCCCTCCTGAAGATATTTGATCATGTCCGTCCCCACCAAGCCCTAAAACAGTTCCAAGAGCTACGCTGGTCCAAGGGTCAGCACCCCGCTCTCTATGCTGCAGCTCTACAACGACACCTCAACCGGTACTATACCAAGGAGAAGTTCCCTGAGCTCTCTGAAGCGGACAGGACTAAGAACATGGAGGAGATGATCATCGACCGACTGAAAGCAGATCTACCCCCCATGGTCCGGTTCCAGCTCCTCTTGAAAGAGCCTAAGAACCTCAAGGAGGCCTGTATAATGTGTGACAGCGTTCTTGCCCTTGACGACGTTAACCCCAACACCGTGGCCGAGACACCGGCTAAGGTTGCCACCGCCGCTGGTGTTTTCGGTAGTCAACCGGCCGATGACTCGGCGGATACGCTCACGAAAGCTGATGCCAAGCGTATCGAACAGAAGCTCGACAGGATTCTGGGTGGTATGAGACGCAAGAGTGACGATCCTAAGCAACAGTCAGATACTAATGTCACCTCTACTGTGGCCCTCACTCGGCCTAGAAACTGTGGTATCTGCAAGGCCCAGGATCATCCGACCTACTCCTGCCCCAACAAGAAGTTCTCGGAAGGTTGCTACTGGTGCGGCAAGACTGGTCACTTGGCTAGAGATTGTTACCAGAACCCGAATAAGGTGATCCGTAATACGGCCTCTAAGCCCCCTGGAGGTTCCCCCTTACCGCTGGGAAACCCCCAAGGCGGTCGATAAGCGGCCCTCGATCGCCAGTACCATTTGCCCTTGAGACCTTCGGCGGGTCTTATGGCAATTTTCTTTACGCCGATATTTCATCTGACAAGGCCGCTCGAGGTCCTTGTCATGCTCTAGTTGATACTGGTAGCTGTTATACTTTATTAGACGAACGTTGTGTCCCGGCTGGTGCCAAGATACAACCTGTTCGTGGACTTGAACTTATTTCTGCACAGGGTCATAGCTTCGATTTGCTAGGAGCTGTCGCCCTTACTCTGTCCTTGTACGATTCGACTAACTTAGATAATCCTTGTTTACCGGAGGCAGACCCCCCGCCGCCGGGTCCCGACCTCCCTCCTGATATCGTGGTACCTATGGTATTTTTGGTGGTAAAGGCGTGTGTTCACCCTATCCTTCTAGGTAGCGACTTCTTGGCACACTATAGGATGTCTGTGGTTTATCAAGAGCTTGGCCCTCCATTACTACAAGGTGTCTTGAAGGACCGACCTATTCCGTCTGTAACGGATGCTGGTCGTGGGTACTCCGTGTCGGCTACTCGAAGGAAACCTGAACCCCTGAAGGTACCTACCCGTA